CGAGTGTTTTCCGACCATGCTGTTTATTCACAGGTTGTCATTTCCTTCCCATATTACACTTCCATTATATATACAAACTAGCTTGCTTACCCGGCTCCGTCCGCTTCAGTGAAAACTATGATAAAGGTTCCATCCTTATCCGTGCAGAATCCTTCCCTGTGCCACTTCTCCATGCAAATTTATCCCCGTTTTCTCAGCATGCTCACCTTCCCCCTGTGCCAACTCCCCGCCCTCTGGGTTAAACTTTGCAGAAAATAGATAAAATCGATAAAAGTAATAGATGATGTTGAAAACTAATACTGTATTCGTAATCATCATGCTCGATTACCCCCTGTGCAAACTCCAAGCTCCGCAGGTCAACTTTACAAAAAAAATCGATAAAATCGATGAAAGTAGTACTCAGACAATCGCTGGGGGCAGGCGGGCACCGGAAAAATGGATCGCTGATTTCTCGCACCCCGCTCGCGGATTTTTTGCAAAGCAATCAGGACTTTTCGGAAGGCCGCTTGCTGAGTCAGCGGATTTTTAAGAGACCGCCTGTTGAATTTTTTTTCGCTCTTATCTTTTGCAGATATATTGCTGAATCTCTGAGGAATCGAGAACTCAGCAAGCGGTCTTCCGAAAAGTCCTGATTGCTTTCCAAAAAATCCGCGAGCGGGATGCTAGAGATCAGCAATCTATTTTTCCGGTGCCCGCCTGCCCCCGGCGATTGTCTGAGTAGATGATGTTGAAAACTAATATTGTATTCGTAATCAGCATGCTCGATCCCCCTGTGCAAACTCCTAGCCGCGCAGGTCAAACGAAATCGATAAAATCGATAAAAGTAATGGATGGTGTGAAAACTAATATTGTATTCGGAATCCCCATGCTCGCTTACCCCTCTGTGCAAACTCCTAGCCCCGCAGGTCAAACTTTACAAAAATATCGATAAAATCGATGAAAGTAATGGATGATGTTGAAAACTAATACTGTATTCGTAATCAGCATGCTCGACCCCTGTGCAAACTCCCAGCTCCGTAGCTCAAACTTTGTAAAAAATCGATAAAATCGATAAAAGTAATCGATAATTCTGAAAACTAATTTTGTATTCGAATCCTCATGCTTGATTACCCCCCTGTGCCAACTCCCAGCCCCGTAAATAAACTCAGCAAAAATCGACAAAATCGATATCGATCGATGACGAAAAGTAGCCTATGACACCCGCCGGGGCCCGAAGTATGTGTGCCAAGTTTGGTCCGGATCGGTTCAGAAATGGAATTTTCTATTTGGAACATACGTACAGACAGACATACAGACAAACATACAGACAGACAACAGACATTATATAAGAAAAACCCATACCTCATCTAGAAGAACGCGTCGCAGTTATTGAAGATGTATTTGAGAACATCGTTTTACGTTCTATCCACTGGTAGTTTCCAAAAAGTTTCCGACGCGCGCGCTTTTCTAGATGGAGCTTTGGGGCTCTTTTGTATACATAATGCAAGTGTGATCTACGAAGGAAATGACGACCTATTGATGGACAACATGGTCGAAAAAAACTCGAACGCGTTCGGATGAGCTCGAATTAGTTCTAAGATGTTTATTAGATGGTTTGCTCAAGCTTGCACACTTTTGTAGCGATTATTTTGATTTTGAGACTCAAAATGCACGAAAATTTGGCTTTAGAAAAGCTCATGACTTTTTTCAAACGATGCAACGCAGATATAGAACGTATATCTGAAATCAGCTTTTGAGCTCTATCCACTGGTATAGATATCCTTCCGAAACGCCACTTCGAATAAGCGAACCTCCCTTATTAGTGATTCCATCTTTCTGCAGTGACTCCGATCACCACCTCCTCTGAGCAAAGGTACGATACAGTTGAAAGCTGGAAAAGGAGGTCTGCCACAGTGCGCAAGAAGGGAAGAGGTTGTTTATGACGGTAAAGCTGGAAGAGCTTTTATCAAGTTGTGACTGGTCCACGAGGAGGAGCCAACGTACCATTACGATCGGCTTCTGAAAGGATTGCGAGTTTGCAGGGAGTTCGTCTCAGTCACTTCTGAGAAGAACTTGGAACGCATCCACTGAGAAATTGCTCGGAAGAAGGTTTTCGAGGCAGGTTCTGAATGCAAGTCATATCGAGCGACTGATAGCCAACACCAGTTGCAGGACAGCTTTGCAGGAGGATTTTAGGAAGTACAGGTAAGCCAAGATACTGAAAGCAGGAAGAAAGACGAAGTCTCAAGAACTGCGGAAGGGACCTCTGTGAATATTACGTACCGCTGGCTGCACTATTGAACGAAGACGGGACTCTAACTTCTTCCCGATACAAGTTGGAATTTATCGCGAAGAACTTTCACACCAATCTCTTCCCAACACCCGTGCCGATGCCTGATGTTCCCACTGAAGAAGTACCACTACGAAGTCTACCTGCTGAAGTGCGCCTAGCGATACAGACCATGAAGACGTCCACGGCTCCTTATCCAAACCATCTTTCCGTTGAATTTTTGCGAGCCAGAGGACAACGTCTACAAGAGATTCATGCGTCGCACCTAATAGCTTATTTTTAAAAAGAAAGGATTCCCGATCAATGGAGGACGTCAAGAACCGTCCCTCATTTCAAGAAAGGTGAACGGGAGGATCTTCGGAACTACTGTCCAATACGCCAGCTGAGTGTTCCGTACAAGCTTTTCACGAAGATTATCCTTGGTCGCTTATCTAGGGCACTGGATAAAGCACAACCCCAAGAACAAGCTGGATTTCGCAAAGGATTCAGCTCCGTGGACCACATCGACGGTTCCGAGGGTCATAGAAGTCTGCCGGGAGTACCGACTGCCTCTCGTCTTAACCTTTGTCGACTACGAGAAAGCCTTTGACAGTGTCGAAATGAACGCCATGCTCGCAGGCTAGTCGATCAAGGAGTAGACCCAGTTTAGTGAAAACACTAGCCGAGTGCTACAAGGTACAACAACGATTGCAGCTATATTCCGTCATTTGGGAAGGAGATTTGACAAGGCGACACTATTTCACGGAAGCTGTTAACCGCGGCGGCTTTGCAGTAGGTATTACAAGACTGGGATGAGACAGGCATACGAGTTGATGGAAAATTCCTGTCCAACCTTTGTTTTGCGGACGACATCGTTCTCTTCTCGACCAGTATCACTGAAGCGAGGCGATGCTGAAGGAACTACCTAAATGAAGCGAAGATGCGAAGATGCAAAAACGGCATTTATGCTTCTAATGGCTTATACTCTAGAATCAGAAACACCAAAAATTTCGATTTCCTCGTTTTGCAGAAACACTAGCTTGATGATTTGAGTTCCTACGAAAATTAGCATTTGTAAAAGGCTAAAAGTTCAAAATTATGCTCCTAATGGCTTATACTATAGCACGGATTAAGTAGTGAGCACTAAACATTTCAATTTCCTCGCCCTGCAAAAACATTAGTTTGATAATTTGAGTTTCTACAAAAACAAGTGGCAAATTTTGAGCGTTTATTTTGTAGAGGGTAATTGTGTCTCTATGTGACTTGAATTTGAATCAAAATCATATGTGAATATGTAAATCATAATACCGCAAAGAGTCCGCACTTTTGGCGCACCCTACATGTGGAACATCCGAGTAGCGGAAAAAAGCAATGTTACCGCCTAAAAACTAGTGCTTTCTATCAACGCTTGCCACGCCAAGTGGCAGGTGTTCAACAGGAAATTACGAATAACACTAACTCTACTGTCCTTAAAGTAAACTTTATCGCCTTGGAAATACTGAAATAGCTAGTCACAATCTACCCCTATAAGCTTGGTATTTATTTAAAAAACGTTTGAAAATGTTTAAAAAAGATGTCTTTTTATCTGTTAAGGCAAACTTTAAAAATGTATTTTTCACGAGAGTACACAAAGTCTAGAGGTTTTGATATGCTCGAGAAGCCCTTTGTGTAATTAAAACACTTCAAGTTATACCTGTGATAACAGAAGGCAATTGAATAATAATCTGCCATTAATGTATTTATCAATGGCCTTATCTTCTGAGCTTTAATTGGCAAAATGCCATGGCGACTGATTGGAGCACACTTGTACGGAGGGAGGGTATGGATGGTAAGGGCGATGACGTATGGGGATCTCGTGCATCCTCGTTATTCCGGAGCAATTTTCTCGCTTCCGAAGCGACATTTTGCGCCGCGATTTGGGCTTTGGCTTGATAGGGAACCCTACTATCATGTGCTGCCAAAGGCTCAAGACCCTTAACTTAGGGTGGACGGCGTGGAGGTGAAAAGTAGAGAGTGGTTTAAGGTTTTGGAATCTCACTGCACTGATGCCTCATTTCTCTGACGCGGCTTCTCATCTTTCCTTTCCTCTCCTTTTCATTTTCGTCTTGCGGTTAACTAGAAAATTCTGTAAAAAATGAGATTATGAAGACTTTGGGCGGACCACCCACCCAGATTCTCGACTCCTAAGTTTTTGTCGTCTTAGGACCTTCTCATGTCCTTGATTCCGATTATAAAGTCGAGAATCCGCGAACACCCGGAAATGCCCCTTCCAAAGAGCCCGCAGGCCGGTCCTCCTGGACGGTGATTGAATGGGAGCTCACGGAGAGAGGCATGGATGGTAAGGGCGATGGCGTCTGGGGATCTCGTACATCCTCATTCCGTAGCAGTTTTCTCGCTTCCGAAGCGACATTTTGCGCCGCGACTTGGGCGTTGGTTTGATAGGGAACCCTACTATCATATGCTGCCAAAGGCTCAAGACCCTTAACTTAGGGTGGACGGTGCCTTCATTGCTGATCTCATATAGCTTAAAGGATTGACAAGAAGAAAATAGAGAAAGCGTATATCTATGACAAGTGCATCTTTGAGACTTGTTTGGGTGAAATGACCAACATAAACACGTGTTTCATAAACCTCAAACTTGCGTCAAATGCGGAAGTACTTATTTATTATGTGCGGCTTAACACTTTCTTTGTCCTTCACGCTCCTCCGAGAGCTCAAATCCGACAGTCCAATAACGTTTTTCTTGGTTTACTACATGTGATGGGATGTCTATGCAGAATATAGTGGGAGAGATCTAAACAGCATTGGTGTTATCTTACAATTGGTAATTCGAAAATCTAATTAATCATGTGCAAAGAGAGAGCAATCGTACTTTTCTTACTTTCTTTCGATTGCACCAATGTTTGACCATGAGGAAAGGTCTGAATAACTTTCTAGCAGCGCCTTCGATTTCAAACCATCCGGTTTTGTTCGGGTGTCCTATTTCAGAAAGTCGTTGACGACGACCACCTGAAATTGAAGTTCGAATTGCGCTCAACTTCGCACTTTTGACTCACGAGGTGCAATATCGAAGATTGTGATTTGCGCATTACTGACTGGCTTTTTTTTACAAAAAAGTGAGCCACGTGCTGCAGTTGTCATCCATTCTATGATTCCTTTGGACGGAACGTAGCAGTAGCAGAGAAGGTACAAGAATATCAGTGCTCGCATTCTGCATTAACGCTTTTATTTGTCATATAATAAGCAACGGTTTAAACAAATCGACAATTACTCCACCTAAATTTGGTAACTAGTCGTTAACAAGTTAACTCGTTGAGTCAACACTAACAGGTGTTTCAACGACTTAGCACTGGATCACTTACTTTTGTGATTATGATTGCATGATGCTGCACTTTTGTTACTGCATGTACCCCTTTCCTCATGCCACTGGAAGTCTAGGTTCAGAAAAAATCGTAGAAACATATCATTCGCTAAAGCAAAGCTCCTAGGATATCCTTTAGCATTCGCAAAATGGTTTCTACGTCAATTAAGCTGAAAAATATTATATCAAACCTTTGAAGATTGAATTTTACCACCCTCTAACTTTTCTATACCTATACTCTCAGCGTAAGAGTTTAATATTAGGTGATGCAAAATTAATGGCCGATTTGTTAAACCTTTTTTAAGGCAGCCTTTTTCCATCATAGTATTTTTTTTTTGATATATACGTAGCACACTGTTGAAAAGCTGCTTTCATGCTCTATCTAAAGATGGTTGAAGCGGGCTTCCAGTCTCATCTGTTATGATTACTGCGTTTCAAATAACTGCGTTGAAATTCAGAATTTTGTTGCATTTACTTTTCTGGCCAGAACTCAAGCTATGTGGCGCTTCTTCGATAATTTAGCTATTGTATGCATTAGAAATTGTCTACATTATGCATACTTCACTGTATTTGAGGTTAACCAGGCTGAGATATCGGCGCTTCAACATTGGTAGCCGTTGCGGTCATTACGTGACCCATAAGTCTCTTTTGAAAGGTCAATTGCCAAAGATTTGCTCAACTCTGTAAGCGTGGTGTTAGGGCACCCTAACAACAGTTTTTGCAAAAACATCCAGCTGTTTAGTACGCGAAAAATCAGAAAATTCTATATTTGGGACTTGGAGGCATACTGAAAAATGTTGGAAGAACTGACAATGTTAGATTTTAATCTTTTTTCTTTTCGCAAACTTTTTTCTCCAAACCCTTTTTATCGCGTTCTATACTATTGGCTTGTGGCTACAAGATAGACGACTTATCGTTCATATTGACAAACTTTGAAAGTTCTAATTTGCCAAACACGAGGTTTTAAAAAAGATCTTTTTTGTTTTACGGCCCATATTTTTCTGCCCATTCATGTGATATTGGTGCAGGTAAATATGCGCTGTATTGCAAAAGGTTTGCTGCCTCTGAAGGTTTTTACCGCATTCAGAAATGTGGGTTTTTAAAGAAGTTATAACACGTTAAAATGAGAATTCGCAGAACGGCCATTATTTGTGCATCAACCTAACAGAAACAAATCGTATTTTTCTCTAGCTAAAATCAAAAATGAGAACCGAAATGCTGTAAGCAAAGCAATTCTGGCTTGTGCTCACATGACCAATTCTGTCTTTGCAAGCATAATTAGAAATTTTCAGTTTTTTACAAGCGTTGTTTTCCGAAAAAAATGTAACGTAAAAACCGACAAGGAGAATTTTGGTAATTACTACCTAATTTTTTCTTTCGTGTTTTATTTACAGGAAAATAGAGCATTCTGCAATTCGAGAACTTTTTTGCATTTTATAAAAATCTATTCGACTAGGAGGTCGTACATTAACAAATTGGAAGCCGGGGATTTGGACGGAAATTCGATTGTCCTTGGAATTCTTCGGAATCTGACCTTAAACTTAGCGTGAAGTACTTGCGCGGATGCTCTAACTTTCTCTTGTAAAGCTTGCCTTGCTCTAGAGAAGAATTTTTTATGCGAGAGCATCACTGGTAACAAACATATTCAGATATAGGAAGACTGAATTTACTATTTTCGCATAGTCGAGCAAAACAGAACAAACCGTTGAAGAAAAGAAAGCGTACCGGTAAAGAATGCGTTTCAATGGCTATTTATGTAAGCAGCTTCAATACAATCGCAGTACACCTTGATGTATTAGCGAAATTGTCGTCCCGAAGCATTGCTGAACTATAAAAAAGCTGCAAGATCAAAGAGATCAAAGCTTCAAAACATCAATACGACAAGCAAACGGCTCGCAATAAAGTTGACAAAGCATCAATAGTTTTATGAAACATTTGGAAATAGCATGGCGATGAAAAAAAACCAAGTCCGCATAAAGTAGAAAACTCGATCATCCCCCTTTAACACATTTTACACGAATAGTCTCAGTATTTCCGTAGAGCCAAATTTCTGTCCGAGTGAAGTTTATTTGAAAGTGCTAATGCACTGCAAAAGCAAGAAAGAAGCAAGAAAGTACGAATTCTGCTAGCAAAGTCTTGGATAAGAGATGCCAGTGGGCACAGTGTAACGTCTCGATATTAACATGTTCTGAAGCGCGTCCGAATGAATTATTCAAAAATTACGACTATCTTATTACTCAAATTATACAGTGCTGGACATAATTATAAAGCCACCCTAAAAATAGTCGTAATCGTTCTTGTTAATGAATCTGTCTGAATCTTTGCCGTATTATGCGCATGTCAACCTACCATGATCCCCCAAAACGGCTTTCAGTCTTGTTGAGTTTGAAGGGAGAAACACGAAAAAATTCGAAAAAGCCCTCTTTGAAAGCTGGACAAAATTATAAAGACACCTGGTTTTTCTAATCAGTGTCGCATTCGTTGATTCTCAAAATTTTTTGTACAATTATTTACATCCCAAAATATGACCCATTTTCTACACCTATTGCCTGTCATCCTACTCCCATAGAAGAGATCACTGCATTTTTTGCTTTCAAAAGCACCAAAACATCAAGCTCTTGTTCATCTTAGATAATATTTATGGAATCCACTGACCCTTCTGGATAGATCAGGTGAAGAGCGCTTTCGTAAACTCTGCGCAATTGCTGATTTTGACGAACAGACTCCAACCTCACCATAGAGTTGACGCACTTTTGCACCACAAAACTCAGTTTGCTATGCCCACAAAACGCTTGGATCTATTACATTGCCTACAAGGGGATGCAGCTTGCGCAACAACTTTCAGAATTTTCCTAATGATGCAGTAGCGATTTCCTGAAATACTTTCCGCGAAAATTCCCCGCGAGCCGAAGATTCGACATAACCCTAAATCTCCTTATTTTTCTCTGTGTTTCAAGTCATATCTCACCCGATGAATGAGATTAGCTAACACTTTGAAGTTTTAAGCGTCTCCAGTTTTTTCTTGTGGCCTGAGTTGGCTTTGATTGTGCACGGTGCACCACTCAACATTCATTGGATATCAACTAAGGCTGAACCAGAGTGCTCAATCCCGAAATTTTTTCCCAGTTATGCACACGAGTTCACTGTTGTATGACTGTCGTAATGGCTACACTACAGTATTTTCTGTCGCTTGAAAATCGAGTTTTGTGATGCAAAAGTCGTCAACCCTATAGCGAGGTTGGAGTCTGTCCGTCAAAGTCAGCGATTACGCAGAGTTTACGAAAGCGCTCTTCACCTCATCTATCCAGAAAGGCAGCGGATTCCATAACTATTATCTAAGATGAACAAGAGCTTGAAAACTCTTCGGACCCGCTCTTTGTTTAAACAGATTGCTTTTGGTGCTTTTGAAAGCAAAAAATGCAGTGATCTCCCCTATATAAGTAGGATGACATGCAGTAGGTGTTGCAAATGTTTCATATTTTGAAATGTAATTGTACAAAAAAACTTGAGAGTCAACGAATGCGATAGTGATTAGAAAAACCAGATGGCTTTATAATTTTGTCCAGCTTTCAAAAAGGGCTTTTTCGAGTTTTTTCGTGTTTCTCCGTTCAAACTCAACAAGACTGAAAGCCGTTTTGGGGGATCATGGTAGGTTGACATGCGCATAATACGGCAAAGTTTCAGACAGATTCATTAACAAGAACGATTACGACTGTTTCTAGGGTGGCTTTATAATTATGTCCAGCACTGTATGTGAAAAAGAAGTAATCTAAACATTCATTCATTTTGCATTAAAAATGGCTTGTGTTAATCGATTGTTCAGTGTCAAAAGGCGTATTCGGATATCCAAATTTTGAAGGTGACAAGGTGATCATGCATAGTGATACTCGAAATTGCATTAAATTTTTCTGATTGTAAGTATTGGAGCTTACATTGATTATCAGCGCAAACTTCAATTCTTCTGTTTTTGACATCCCTATCACAGTACCGTTTTTCGTGCAAGTCAATACGATGTCGTTCTTTTTCGAGGTCCAGGTAGTGATGACGTAGTGAATCATTATCATACACTTCTGCTAATTGATCATTTCTCTTTTAAACTTGATCTTCGCTAATTTCCAAGGGAATAAAGAGGTAAACAGGTTTGCCATCAGGTCGACCCCTCGTGGTTCTCCCTTTACATTTTTGTCAGTTTCGTGATTCCTTTTCAAACATTTCTCGGTAGGATTGGGTCGCTCAGGATTACATCGTCAATTTTCGGCTCTTTTGGCGATGGCGTCTCTCCGAAATGTTTTTTTTCATGTTTCTCTTAGGCTGACAAGGTAGTGAGTGATCTTTCCAAACTTTCCATAACTCTTCTGTAATTGCGCATGAAGATTACAAAGCTTTTTCTACCTCAGTGCGGGTTTTTATAGCTTGCATTTTTTTCGCGAGGATAGTAAGTGAGATTGTGAGAGTTTTACTGGTGAGTACGAAATGCCAAGATCTTGTTGCGCTGCACGAAGTCGGTTGATGTCGCGGATTGGGGTCCCCCGCTCCAGACGTCAGTAGTAACGTGCTGTCCTGCATCGGCGACAGAAGCGAAGGACTCCATCCGTAAGATAGAGTAACGACACTTGGGGAAGGTAGCTAACCTGCGCCACGCTATTATGGCCTGCCACGGGCACAATGCACACGAGTCAGAGACCCTGAGCTACCAACCAACCCCGTGATGCCTGCTGCCAGCTTTCTCAATGTTCACACGTACATGGACAATTGTGGATCACTTGCAACTAAGGCACTAGTGCACATCATGCCCTGCCTTCCGACCATAGTTGCGATAGGGGGAGTGATGGATCTTACCCCCTTCACTTGACTTTGAGGCCAAACTCCCGATGACCCCCTTCACCTGAGCTGAGATTGGTATTGTACTCTGAGAATATGATAAAAATCGTTTTTAAAAGGTTTTGCAGGCTAAGTACCTCAAACAACAAGTACACTCATAAATTTACAAAAGAAACGGTATTTATGTTTACTTATATTATTTATTTATCCTCGATCCTTTATCCTTTGAAAAAGCAGTTGGTTTTTGGAGTACTATTCGACCTAGACCGTCGACTTGTTTCTAGCCCCCTCTACCGAAAGATACACCGCATTTTATCTGAAAACATGTCCATTCTCAACACCAGATTTTTGCCAAACGAAGATCTAATCACTGCTGATTGTCTATCGATGTGATAGAGCAAGTCTTCATTAACAAACGTAGACCCCACTTTCTCGTAGCATTCATTTGGAGAGCAGAAAGTGAGGACAAAAAAGCAGTTGGTTTTTTGGAGTACATAAAATCCCTCATCTCTCGCGGCACAAAAGACCTAGAGAAAATTCGACGGTCCACGTCGATTCTCCATAATCTCAGCTTTCGAATGGCATAAGCCATGTTAGGGCTTTTTTGCTTCCCGGCTCTAAAAATCATTTGCTCCGGGACCCATAAAAGTCCACACATTGTATAGGTCGTCCCGAAAGTTCTTACGCACGATTTTCAGAAATACCTAACTTCTGATTTTTCCAACCGATTTGACTGCTTCTATTTCGTATAAAATATTAAGTCATGTTTTTTATAATGACATCTTATCTGCTTGCTAATGGTCATCTATGGCATAGATAGGAGCGATAGAAGAAAATTGGTCAAAATTTGAATTTTCTGTGTAGGGTCATGAAAAATCGGAGACTTGCAACAAAAATCGGAGCACTCAGTATTGTAGGTCCTTTCACCAACTCTTTCTAACAGTGCAAAGTTTGCGCTGATTGAGGGTTTCTATGAAAAGTTATGATTTTCGAGCAAGCAATACGAAAGGGCGAATTCTGTTTATTTTGACATTTTTCAGGGTTTTTTAACTTTCCGTAGAAACCCTCAACAGCGCAAAGTTTGCACTGTTAGAGAGAGCTGGTGAAAGAACCTACAATGCTGACTGCTCCGATTTTTGTTGCAAGTCTTCGATTTTTTATGACCCTACACAGAAAATTCAAATTTTGACCATTTTTCTTCTTCGCTCCTATCTATGCAACAGATGACCATTACTAAGCACTGAGATGTCATTATAAAGAGCATGACTTACCCTTTCACATAAAAGTGAAAGAGTCAAATCGGTTGAAAAAATCAGAAGTTATGAATTTTTGAAAATCGTGCGCAAAAACTTTCGGGACGACCTAATAAGAGCGAGGTGGAGCAAGTTAATAGTGAAAATGTGCTATGGATTGACATCGTTATCAGCACTAATGGGAACGTGAGCTAACGCATCTATTTAAGCGTGCTTATCGTTGTTGTATGTTTATGTTTTTTGGTAAAAAAATGCGCTTTTGATTGACATTTATGCCATCATCATTAGCACACACTCAAAAAACTATGGGAGATTGGTGTATTTTCACACCTTCACGCAAAAACCCACCCACTGGAATCTATACTCTGTAAACCTAGTGCTGAAGAAGGTAACTTTCGTGAAAACGCTCTAGACTCACCTTACCTAATTTGTAGAGAATGGTTGGTTTCAATGAATCAAAAACTTTAAGACATTCAGAAGAATAACATGTTATTATAATATCCCTCAATGTTTTGGAAAGGTTGGCAGTTTGAAGAGTAAACGGCAGGCAGGATACATTACAAAATCGCAGATGACTCGCATGTGTTCCAGTTCAACAGCGAGGCAGAAGGAGAATTTTGCGCCGACGAAAATATTGTCGACATTGATACAGAGTCGACAATTGAGCGAAACTCTCTGATTTCCTACATAAGGAATCCAAGCAGATTGCCTAGTT